GGTGTAGAAGAGTGCGAGAGTACAAAGTATCTCCTACGCTAGAGCTCTCCTACTCTTTTATACTCTCTAGCCCCGCCGCTGCAAACGCTAGCGAAACGCTCGTGAAACGCTGGGAGCGCTAGATCGATAGCTATGCTTCCCGTGCCCTCGCTACGCTAGCGTGCGCTGGCGTAGGCTGCGTTTATACTTTGCGGCAGCGTAGCGTAGCGCTCCAGCGGCAGTGTCGGGGAAAGGATAGATATCGATCTAGCGTTCCCAGCGTCACCAGCGTACGCTAGCGTAGCGAGGGCACGGGAAGCATAGCTATCGATCTAGCGCTCCCAGCGTTTCACGAGCGTTTGACTACAGTACAAAATACTCTCCTACTCTTCTATACTCTCTAGCCCCGCCGCTGCAAACGCTAGCGAAACGCTAGTGAAACGCTGGGAGCGCTAGATCGATAGCTATGCTTCCCGTGCCCTCGCTACGCTAGCGTACGCTGGTGACGCTGGGAACGCTAGATCGATATCTCCCTTTCCCCGACACTGCCGCTGGCGTACGCTGGAAGCGCTACGCTGCCACAAAGTATAAACGCAGCCTCACGGTGGCCAGGTGTTTCGCCCACAATGTTCATCAGTCTCTTTTGCTGCGGATAATGAGGCGCGTCAGCGCGGCAGTGTTTGGAACAGTCTCAGCCCGTTTACCACCAGTTGCTGAAGATGATAAGTGGCGACAGGTGGTGGGGAACGACTGATATGAACGATTTTATAGGCCTTGATTATGTTTATATGGATGTGCACCTTCCTATGGGAGATTCGTCACTGTAACTCTTCCAGAAGATAAAGTCATGACAGAATTTATTCTCAAGGAGTGTCTCCCAGTACATTGATATCTTTTTCAGTCACGGTTAATGTGTCTTGTGCTTCTTCGACGATTGCTGTCAAGTAAATGGGACCAATTATGGCATGATCTTGGTCCACAGCAGAAAAGCTTCACGGATCAGGTACAGCTGAACGTTGATACCAGAGTGCGGTTAGTTTTTTTGGCCAGTTTACTTGCTTTAAGCTTATCAATACCGTTATGGCTGAATCTGACTCGAGACTGAGGAAAAAGTTGCTCGCGGTTGTTGCAGAAGTTGCTCGCAATACGGTTGGTGAGTGTGCACGGTGACACAGTTGTATACAGAATTTGTTGGTGCGCTAAGAAATCCCTCGTTTCAGACGAAGATACGGGTAAACAAAATTGGGCCGAAGTGCTCCAATTTCTGGAGCATTGTATGGCTAGCGAGAACGTCAGCGAAGTTGAACTGGTTGCAATATTGCTCGAGTGAGTCTTATGACCATATGTGGCCAAAGTTTTATACGTGCGTGGTTGCGCTGTGCTCATCCCAGAAATGTTAATTGACATCGTGCGTCTGATCATTGCGAATAAGTTTATCCACCGCCAAACGGTGCACGCCAGTATTCGAATTGGGCCAGGACGTGTTCTGTGCACCCACTGCACGCACTTCTCCAGTTTGGGTGGATATCGTTTGGCGGGGAGGCGGTCGTATGGCGTGGCTGGCAGCTGTCCTACCGTAACTGGGACGCTGCTGGACGCTAATTGACACCTCCCTGAGCCTGGGCAGCCGCTCCCTTGGACCGGAGAACTCGTCCACAGCTACGTAATTGACTCGCATCATTGATCGACCCACAATAGTAGGGCTAATGCCGTTTGGACTCCAGCAACTTCGGCACCGAGCTCATTTTTAAATTACCTAAGTCACCAAACCCGCTGAAAATATGTACACAAGGGTTATTTACCATCCTGATTACAATTATGACACTCATTCTTGGCGCTGGCGCCAAGGGATGACACTACGATTACCTCTTGGGCTCAGCCTTAGCGGAGCGCAGGTAATCGTAGTGTCATCCATTAGCGCCAGCGGCAAGAGTGAATGTCATATTCGTAATCAGGATGTTAAACTACCCCTATATACAAGTTTTTAGCGGATTTGGTGACTTAGGCAATTTAAAAATGAGCTCGGTGCCGAAGTTGCTGGAGTCCAAACGGCATTAGCCCTACCATTGTAGGT